AAGAAGCAAAACTCCCAATAGCATCTTCAAAGTCACTAAACTCTTCAACAAATTCATGAACGTTACCCCCCTCATTAATCTCATTATATTCTTCTTCCACTCAATATGAAAGTTCCCACTATAATATATTCATTTGCATAATGACATGTTTAATGAAATTTAAAGTAACCTTTAGTAGAAATATTAGAGTCAAATATAGTGGCATTAGATTCTCCTATATATTTGTTAATAATATGGTTACATTAGAAGTAGTGAGTGGAACACATTAAATTTGACAGTCTTAATGAAAAAATACATCTCAAGCATACGCACTGAGTCACATAAATGGAAGAAAACATTAGTTTAAAATCGAATGCAAACTTGAAAATGGAATCCAATGTGCTGAAATTTTTCTTAAAATCTAAAAGTAAATATTTTATGGTATCCAATTATTTTTTAACAAAAATACAAATCCTCAAATATAGTCATGTATTTGGTTATAGTTTTTGTTGCTTGATTTAATAAACTGAATTCATAAAACAATAGATCACGCTATGATAAATGTAGATATTTCTCATTAAGCAGTTCTTTCACCTCAGATAAATGTAGATATTTCTCATTTAGCACTTCTTTCACCTCAACCCTAGTAATAAAACCCTTCATTTCTTCATACTGAGTCGGTATATTTTAGCTTGCCAGAATAATAATAAAAAGGTTTTCTCTACAGAAAAAAAAAAATCTTGCAAATTTAACATTGAATTGACCTTTCAGATAAAAAAATTATGTGAGGATAAATTACAATTTTAAAGAAGGATAAATTAGAATAACAACAACAAACATCAAGCTTTTATCCCACTAGGTGGGATCGGCTACATGAACCCTTCATTTAATATTTTCTAACCAAGACTTTTTAGGTCTACCTCTACCTTTCTTACAACAACAACAACATCAAGCCATTATCCCACTACGTGGGGTCGGCTACATGAATCCTTTTCCTCCATTGTGTCCTGTTAAAAGTCAAATTCTCGATTAAATCTATCTAATAAAGAAAGGTCATTCCTAATATTTTATAACCAAGTTTTTTTAGGTTTGCCTCTACCTTTCTTAACATAAGTCAAATCTAATACCTCTACTCTCCTAACCGAGTCATCGGAAGGCCTCCGTTTTATGTGACCAAACCATCTAAGGCAACTCTCTCTAATCTTATCTTCAACTCGAGCTACTCCAACCTTATCACGTATATGCTCATTTCGTATCATATCTATAAGGGTAAAGCCACTCATCCACCTGAGCATCCTCATCTCTGCCACACTTAACTTATTATTATGCTTCTCTTTTAATGGCCAACATCCGGCACCATAAAGCATTGCAGGCCTCACCACCATCTTATAGAATTTTCCCTTAAGTTTGAGGGGTACTTTTCTATCACACAACAAACCCGATGCATTCCTCCACTTCAACCATCCCACTTGAATTCTGCTGATAATATTCCCATCTATTTCACCATCACTCTGAACAATAGATCCAAGATATCTAAAATGCGTACTCTTATTAATGACTTGATCGCCCAAAGTCACAATCCCCTCACTAGGACTATACTACTAAAATTACACTCCATATATTCTGTTTTAGATCTACTCAAGCAAAAATCTTTAGACTCTAAGGTTGACCTCCATAATTCAAGTCTACCTTCAACTCCCTCTCTAGTCTTATCAACATAGGTCAAATCTAATACATCTACCTTTCTTAACATAGGTCAAACCTAATACATCTACTCTCCTAACAAGGTCATCGAAAGGTCGGCATTTTACATGACCAAATCATCTAAGGCAACTCTCTCTAATCTTATATGTCACTAGAACTACTCCAACCTTTTCCCGGATATGCTTGTTTCGTATCCTATCTCTAAGAGTAAGTCCACTCATCCACCTTAGCCTCCTCATCTAGCAACACTTAACTTAATATTATGCTTTTCTTTTAATGGCCAACATTCTGCACCATAAAGCATTGCATGTCTCACCACCATCATAAGAAGTGGGAAAAATTAGAATGATAAAGAAAATTATATGGAGTGAATCAACTACTCAATATAATCTCCTTGACTTTCTCCATTTATTTCTAAATGGTTGACAAAACCTTTAAGTAGAGATTTAAAGGAATATTATCTTGATTTATACTATGTTAATCCATAATTTGAATGTATATAGAAAATACAAATAAGGATTCCTAAATTAGTTTATTTACACCTCAGATAAATGTAATATTTCTCATTTAGCAGTCCTTTCATCTCAACCCTACTAATAGAACCCTTCATTTCTTCATACTGAGTTGGTATATTTTAGCTTGTTTGAATAATAATAAAAAGGCGTTCTCTAGAGAAAAAAAATATTACAAATTTAACATTGAATTGTCCTTTCGGATAAAAAATTATAAGAGGATAAATTGCAATTCTAAAGAGGGACAAATTAGAATGATAGAGAAAATTATATGGAGTGAATCAACTACTCAATATAATCTCCTTAACTTCATTTATTTCTAAATGGTTGACAAACCTTTAAGGAGAGATTTAAATGAATATTATCTTGATTTATACTATGTTTATTCATAATTTGAATGCATATAGAAAATACAAATAAGGATTCCTAAATTAGTTTATTTGGTTGGAATTATGGATAGACATGATTTGCTCCTATTTTTATACACCAAAAAAAAACATGACTGACTTCCTCCCCCCCCCCACGGTCCCTACAACACACATCACAAGGCAATCCAGATCATATAGCACATCCTTCCCAAGAGGAGAGTTGCCAACATCACCCTTACCCCTCCTATTAGATTATGGAAAGAAAAAGTTCCTCCAAAAAATTCCCTATTCTCATCTTAGTATTTTTAGACCGATTCTATGAGTCATCCACACATCACAATTGAAGAAGATTATATTGGTATCAAAATATTAGTTCCAATTTATAATATTTTCATTATGCTTTTGTGCGAGATGAAAAGAAAATTTAGAAAACTCTATGGAGTCAAATACCTATCAATCAAGAAAAGAAAGAATTAAAAAAAGGTAAAGAAATTTGAAGTATTTCTCTAAATCCACATATCATATTTTCAAACAAATAACCAAAAAAAAGTTACCACATTAGCCGCTTTTGAAAAGATTGTTGTAAGTTATAACCACCAACATACATGAAGAAAGAGAAAGTCAGCCCACAAAGAAGAACTTTGAAGAGAAAATAGAAGAAGGAAACGAATAAGTACTTTTCATTGATCTACTTATTGACATATTCACATAAGAGTTCATGGTTCATGCAAAAGTTCAAAGGGATAAGTATATGATCCAAAAGAACTACCGCGTAACTGCCATAGTAGACCACAAGATGAATATCAGAGACCAACCATGTACCGAAGAGGCAAGACATGACATTGAGACAGGCTTGATGAATTCAAAAGAAACCACACATTTATATAGATGCTTCAAAGGAGGAGAAAAAGTAGAATACTATTTGTGCTAATCTTTCTAGTTTTTATGCTAGTTCACTCAAAATTTATAACTTTATACACAACTCACCTTGATCTATTGGTTGGGAACTTACGCTACTAACTAAGAGGTCTCCTCTTGTGTATGCGATGTGTGTATAAATCTGCCTTAATTGACGTAAATGTCCCAAAAAAATTTATAACTTGGGATAGTACATTAGCTTTAACTTCATTCAAATTTTATCAATCTATAATTATTCAAAATATATCAACCTCGTCAAAAAGTTGGGCGTCAAGTAGAAGAATTCTGCCAAATAAATCATAAAAATCAATTTTTTAAACAACAATGATTTATCGAATGGAAATTGATTATTCCTCCAATGTAAAACTCATGTCTCCTAACAATGTTTAACACAAAAATGAACGGGTTCTTAATTGATTAAATTTAACTTTTAGTTCATATGGGTGAAGTTGATTAGTTTCAAAAATATTAATACACTCCTCAACCTCCTCTATCGATTAATTTTGTTTCTGCAGTAATTCCGTGCATGTTACGCAAGCTGAGAACCGAAAAACTAATAGCATTCAACATAGGAACCAAACAGCAAGCAGCCTGGCCCAACAAAAAATTTTCAGCACAAGTTCCTAAACCAACATAAAATGACCATGCACCGTTAGTTCACGTTAAAAAAGTAAAAGAACATAAGTCTAACAAAACAAACCAAAAATTAAAAAGAAAGCCCTGCAGGTTAAAACTCAAGCTACATTTGAAAATGTTATTCTATGTTATGTTGTATTATATTGTGTTGGGTTGTGCAGCCAAGTAAAGAAAGCAAATAGTTGTCTGATAAAATTGTTATTAAAATTGTTGTTCTAAGCATCGTAAAAGTTGACCTGTAGGGTCAAAATGGGCGTGACAATAATATAATTTGTTAAAACATCCTAAATGGATATTTTAATTAAACTGTAAATGTAAATAAGATCAACTATCAATAAGAAATTCTGTAAATAAAGATTATAAAATGAGCTAAATAAATTTAATTTGTACTTAAAATACCAAATAAAGTTCAATGCTAAAAATGGATTAACAATAGAAAATTATTCTAATTCTATAAATACAAGAAAACAATCATAATGGCAATTCAGGAATTGTGGTCATGGATAATTATATTATTGGAGTCTTCCATACCGCAATTTAGGAAATGCGGGAATGGATATAATCAGTTAGCAGCAGTGACGCGTAACGCCTTATTCAAAGTGTTTGGGATCAACATATATGATAATTATTAAAATAAAAAAATCCAAATTTATTTCATAATGAAAAACTGAGATAATATGCATGCATACCCTGTGCTATAAGGAGAACTCAATTTTAAAAATGTGTACATCAATCAAAGACTATAATTTTAATTAGCTTAACGGCACAAATGCAATTTCAAACAAACAAGACATCTGAAAATATCTGTAGGCAGGGAAATAAAAAACAAGGAAGCAACAAAGAACTGAGAATCACCAAGCAAGTTTATCAATGAGAACTTTACCTAATTTTGTTCCCACAAGTATTATAGGAACAGTAGGGGCATAGTGCCTAAGTTCAGGAATCCACTGTAAATAAACACAAATATCAACAAGATAATTATATAGTTAGTAAAAAAACTTAAGACAGAGGAACAGACGCACAGAGAATCGGAGGGATTATTGTACCTTCTTGGAAATGTTCTCATAACTGGCCTTGCTGATTAGGGAAAATGCCAGGATAAAAACATCAGCTCCACGGTAGCTCAGTGGTCTTAATCTATTGTAATCCTCCTGGCCTATTTACAAAAGGAAAACTAAGGTGATAGATAGCATGGGTTTCGAGAAAAATATCTGCTTTTGACCCACCCCAGGTATAAAAGCAAAGAGCAAAGCAAATTGAAAGAGGGACAAAGAAGAGAAACATGGCAATTTACCTGCAGTATCCCATAAACCTAGGTTAACAGAGCTACCATCAACAACCACATTTGCGCTAAAATTGTCAAACACTGTTGGCACATAATCCTGTTTTCAAATAGATTTCCAAATCACTTGCGCAGCGAAAAACAATATATGACATAATACCAAGCAAATTATAACATAATCCATCAATGGCGAAATATATGATCAGCAAAGAACCATAAAACTTTACCAAACACTACATAAATTATAACTCATATCCCCCACCATCAGGGTTAGCACAAACCAAAAAAAAAACTACGACCCTCGTCCACTCCAACGCCAATACAGAAAACCCTAACAAAATCGCACCTACAACGACGTAAAAAGGAAAAAAGAAAAACTCCTAAACTCACCGTGGGAAACGTGTTGCTGGTGTACGATATAAGCATGCATGTCTTCCCGACGGCGCCGTCCCCAACCGTGACACACTTTATAAATCTCGAAGCACTCATCTCCTCTTTCTCCTCTTCTGATTCCCCTCCCACGTATCAGATTATATCCAAATCCTCAATCGCACAAGAAAAACCCTATCCTCCAGAAACCCACCGGAAACCCACATTTGCCCTTCCCTGATCAAACCCTCGCCGGATAAAACCGTGCGTTCTAAAGCAGAGATCTCCTTCCTATCCTTCCTTTCACCTTCTCTACTATCAATCTCGACTTCTGAAGTAGGTAAATACAGAGAGGATCGGCGGAGAAAGATCGCGTCTACAGGAAGAAACACGACGGTTGACGAGGCCGCGGTATATATATATTATTAAATAAATTTAAAAATTATTTACTTTATCTTGAAATTAATATTATATTCATATAAAATATTAATATTTCTGGACATTTTAATATTTTATCATAAATTTAATGAATTCAAAATTATTAAATATTTAAATATATTTTTAAATTAATAGAAATAAATTTTAATGTATTAACATAATTTTTTAATTAATAGAAGAAATAACTAACCATTTGTTAATTATGCGAGGAAAAAATTGACTAACCAACCACTTATGGAAAGAGATAATAATGATTACTTTCTACGTAACTTTTAATTAGAACGAGTGGCCCTCCATTACTGCACAAAAATTATTGTCTGTTATATATAAATTGTTAAGGACCTTAATGTAAATGTCAAAGTGATTAAAAGAAATTTTATAATAGAGCTGTCAATAAAAGAAAAGTTAGTTTTGGGTCCACCTTTTTTACTCGTTTCTTAAACTGTTTGAGTTTGAGTTGACCAAATTTAATTTGGATTAATTTTTGATTAGACCCAAACCCAACCTAGTGAACCGTTTTGATTCTCCGGATTTGTAATAACAATTCTCATCAATATTTCTCTAAATACTTAATATGATTATTTCAAAATCATTACTTAGACTGATAAATATATAATATAACATGAAAATTTTTATTTTATAGCATTTTGATTAAATTTTTTTATTATGGCAATTTTTATAGTTCGTAGATTTACTTTAAGATTAGTGTAATATAAATTATTTATTTTAAAATTGATTTTATAATTTTAAATTTTATTATTATTAGTGTTTTTTATTATAATTTTTTGAAATAATTTTTTTATTTAATATTATGTTATCAAAAATCCCATCATAAAAAGAGAAGGAAATGATTGGTAATTTATAAATATTTATTAAATGATACTGGATTTATTTCTCAACAATCAAATCCATGTGTTTGGTGAGCTAACACCATTTCTTTCTTGCTATGAGGGGACAGCCCTTATATGAAAATATGGATAAGTTGTTGAAATTCATTTTATTTATCTCTGATATTTATAGTTTATTAATTAATAATTGAATAGACAAATCTTCTCATTTTATTGCAAAAATTCAATGCAAACTGATAAAAATCTAATGGGCCCTTTGGAATCTTTTTATATTTTATTTTTATTTTGAACTGAAATAATATATTTGGTATCTTAAATATAATTTTTTTTATTTGTATGGAATATAGAATAAGTTGATTTATGGTTGTTGGTGAAGGTTGGCGAGGATAGTAGGGGATTGTAGGGCTAGTCGACTGCCTGGTGAGGTCATTAAGAAGGAGGTGGTTGCTTGTTGATGGCGAGAACCGGCGGATGATGGCTGTGGTCATAGAGTGACGACGATAGCGACGTCAATGGTTGTTAATGACGAAGGCTGCAGAGGGTGGTGGTGGCGATGGTCACCGATGGAAGTCATTAGGGTTGTTATCGATGCGATGGCGACGCTGTTTACTGATAACAATAGCAATGACAGTAGCTATTGGTGTGGTAACGAGTATTGGTGGTGGTGGCAGGGGATACCAGTGATGGTGATTGTTTTTATTAACGGTTCAAACAACTTAAATTTATTTTGAGCATTTTTAAATTAAATTCAAAAAATAAAAATATGGTGCCCAAATGCCCTGAGTAATTAAGAGTAGCAAGGTTTTTCCTCTACACTATTTGCATCACATGATTATATGTAAAATCTTTTTTTATTATTTTTACTTATTTTTCCATTAAAAAATTACAAATTCATTCTAAAATCATGCATTTAAGAGCTCACCCATAGAGCGTCAACCTTAATTCGCATAGAGAGCCCTTTATCATCTCAACTTAATAGGTGGTTAGGAAGCTACAAAAATATTACTAGCCCTTGGTAAAATCAAACCTTTATTTTTGTTGATGTGGAGCTTAATCTAATTTTCTTTAATAGTTGACCTAGGCCCAAACTATAACTCTATGCTCTACTTAGGCATGCCTACCCCCATTAGGATTGTTGTACCCTTAGTGGATGTTTTAGGTAGATCTTTTTTACACTAAAAGAAACATTTAGGTTGACTATCACCAAGTTGGTGTAGCCTCGACTTGTAGGGTTGAGAACCATTAGTTCTACTCTCAGTAGCCTCGACTTGTAGGGTTGAGAACCATTAGTTGTACTCTTAGCGCCACTTTCTGGATAGTTTGACACCTTTTCTAAATGTTAAACTTGCCCTCTAAGCAAGCAAATGATACCAATGTTGGCTAATGCTCCATCTCTGCTTGGTTGACTTTCTGTCTTGAGTCGATAGAACCCAACTTTTGTTCATAATGACTCTTGCCCCAATAATAGACAATCGATGCCAAATCTTAAAGACCTCCAACTATAGATGCTATTCTTACCATGTTTTATCTCAAAGGCAGCCTACTACCCACAAGGGAAGTCTCCACACTTGGGTGCCTTATGTTAAGAAGCTTTTTTTTCTCTACAGCTTCTCCACATAAAATTTTCATTCTTGAGTTTTGTTAGTCCCTCTCACAAGAATTCATTTACCTCGATGACCTGTCCTGAAAAGACCCCTTTTAAATGACTTCTTAAGTGAAGTCTCTCATCTTAGCATTCTTTTGGTCGCCTTTTGGCCAACAACTTTTTTCATGTGTTACTTCTTGTCACATTAGTTAATAACTTTTTCCCTTAGCACTTGGTGCTATCTTTTTAACTTCATCCCATTGTATTGGACTCTGGCCAATAATTTTCCTTCTTGGATCCATCTCATTTTACTTCCCTTGACTAATAACTTCCAACTTTCGTGCCAGTGACACCATCTCAATGCCATATCAAGGGAATTCGTCCCAATGATATTTCTTCCCATTTGATCTACACCTGTTGATTAGTTCCTTGCCTTAAATCCACTTTAGATTGCACAGTGCTGGTTAACTCTCAATGGAATTTGTTCCTAACATCTAACAATTAAATTTAAGCATTTATGCTCCAAGAATAAATGTGGAGAAGTCAATTTCGAACCCTACTAGGATTTGTCACACAACACTAATGAGCACACATGAACAAAAGTTATTAAATTCACGTTCATTAAGCATAACATCCATCAAACTCGCATAACTGACAACACCCCTTCCCATCTTTTCCTTCAAAATATGTTATGTTTATCACCTTATGGGTTATGATCGAGCTATCGACATAATGACTCTATTTACTAGTTATTTCATTATGGCAGCGTGGGTTGATAGATCTTTAGCAAATCCTTAAGCTTATATGCATCGATCCTATGAGCCATATTGGAGGAAAGTTGTGTTGCTTAATTAGGAAGTTAGAGAATCTTATCTAACAACTATTTCATAATTGTCACCATCACCTTGTAACATTATCCCAACCATAATATTTTCTTTTTTTCTCATTTTCACTTGGACTAAAAATGGATGTAAAATAATCCATAATATATTTCTTGTCATATCTTCGGCCTGTTAGGGCTAATCCATCTTGTTAATTACGGGCTGGGCTTATTAATTCTTTTAAACTTACAGCCCACGTAGGAATTTCTCTGGGCTCAATTAGTCCTGTCAATTTCGGGTCACGGGTCGGGTTCGGGTCGAACCCGAAACTGACCCGGCACTATTTGGGTTCGGGTCGACCCGACCCGTTTTTTAAAACGGGTCGATTTTCTGGACCCGAACTTGACCCGCTTCGGGTTCGGGTCAACCCGACCCGACCCGCGAATACAATAATGCCTGGAGCGGCTAGCGGCAGCGGAAGCCGGCGAAAGGATCCGGTGACGCCCGACGCCGGCGAAAGCAGCCGGTGACGCCCGACGCCGGCGAAAGCAGCTCGAGGCGCTCGGACGGCTCAACCCCAAAATACTAATATATTTTAACTTCGTTTTAAATTAATATTTTTAAAACAAGTTGACTGGGGAACTAATAGGTCGAGTCGAGACCTCAAGCTTTGCTCATTAGCACATAGAGTTTAGCTCACGAGCATTTTATTATGCAAAGCCCAAGCTGATTCACGAGTCGACATAACGCACTTAACACCACTAATTCACAGCAACATATGGGAAGAATTAGAAATATAAAAGCATGGTTTGTTTTTTTTTCCTTGATTTCTATTTAATAATATTTAGAATTTATTTGGGATGGTTATAATTTTTATAAGGAAAATAATATGTTGAAAGTTAATAAAAGTATATTATATTTAAAAAAAATAATTAATCATCAATTTTTTATTAAAATGAGGTCAAAATCGTTAGATTCTCTTTAAGATGAGTGCAATACATATAAATTAATTTAATGAAATTTAACTTTATTTTAATCAAAATCTTAATTATAATATACTAAGCTAAATTTTTTTTTTATTTATATATTTATATATTGCTTTTTCTTTCAAGAGTGGTCGATCGAAATGCTTTTGATAGGAATCATTAAAGCCTAATTAGCTTTGATGGAATCTTAATAAGACATTTTTAACGGCCTAAAATGTTTGGACGGCTATTAATTAGTTCAAATTGATTTGATTATCTTTGTGGTTTCAGTTTATTGGAGAGCTTCAAAGAACCAAAGCCATGAGGTTGTTAATGTAAACAATAAATCATTTATAAGTGTGAACTTGTTAAAAAATTTATGCCGATAGAGTTGGCGTTTAAAATTTTTACGTGGAAAACTCAAAAAAAGGAAAAAAAAATTATCGATGAAATTTTTTATAATTGAGAACGATTGTCTGAATTTTCGTATAGGAATTACTGGAATATTACGTTCACAGGCCGACAATTAAAAAAAAAAAACCAACAACAAGGATATATCTTCGTATGAGTGTGAAGATGATGGAGACAATTGTTGGTGATGATAATCGAAAAATATAAGAGAGTTCTTTAATTCCCTTAACTTTTGAGTATATTCCTCTTTATAGAGAATGAAGTCCTATTTATAGGATTTTTTTATATTCTAATTTTAGTAAATTTGGTCATAATCTAAAGTATTCCATCATATAGTCCATATTGATTTTCTTGATCATCGATTGTTTATAAAGCATCTGACTATCTTAAGGATGTCAGAATCAAGTGATATTGTGCTACTATATTTGTCTCATCGAGCCATACAATTTGACCATAATATGCTATAATTGCCCAACTTTATGATGTACCTCGATGATTGATCTCAAATCATAACATCATATTTGTCAGTGACTTTTGGAGAGAGAGTTTCTAGTTGGTACACGCACCAAGCCTAATCTGGCAAGCTCGTGCAACTCAACTTGATCTATTGGTTGGGAGCTTTGGCTACCAACCAAAGAAGGTTTTGGGCTCAAAACTTGGGTATGTGATGTGCGTGAGTTTGCCTTCAATGACCCGAGTGTTCCAAAAAAATTATTAAAAAAAAACCTCGCAAGCTTAGGCCTTTTCAGATTGAAGCTCAATTAACAACAATGCTCATGTTGTTAGGAATAAAATCGCATAATGTAAAATAAACAAGAAAAAGAAATTACAGAAGAAAATATCATGATCTAATATGAAAATTTTTGAAATTGTAAACAAAAAAAATCACAGTCATATCATATTAAAAAATTCACTATAAATACGAAATCCCATACTCTCTCCTTGCCTTTCACTTATCACGTTGTTATATACTCAAAACAAACAAAGAGATGCATTATTATATGCCAAAAAAATACAACTCTTAAGTGAAATTAAAAAAAAAGGAAGAAAAATGGTTCAATCTAACGAGAAATAATTATGTGCGTCGAACGGTCTGGAGATCAATCGGAACACGTCAGGTCATTCGATATCAAGCTATACCAAGTACCGGTAACGAGCAAAAGAATGACGTGGCATATTATGATGGATCTATGGACATTGTCCCGTATCCACATAGAATAGTTTTTTTCGATCTAACTCACATTGCTGCTGCAATGTTTTTTTTTTTTTTTTGGATATTTAGGCCAATTAAGATAAAATCATACACACAGCGCATACACAAAGACTCGAATCTAAGACTTCTTAGTTATAAGTCTAAACTCTAAACTAATAGATCAAGATGAGCTGGCTGGAGCAATGTACCTACAGTACCATCGTGCGTAAACATTCCAATGGAGGTAATGTGATGATGGGAATCAAATGTAATGGAAGTAGCTTTAGAATAAAGAATATTTTCTGCCTACCGCACCGTTATATTTGCCTCTCCTCCTTCGCCCGTTGGCCCAACGACTATCTCTGTTCGTTAAGCCAGACAGCACGACCAATGCTCTCCTTACTGTACTTCTTCTTGCTCCCACGCCTCCTCCTTTCTTCTTCACCCTCGCTCTCCTCCTCCACTTCCCCCCTCCTCTCCTTTCTAAAAATCTTCCCTTTCCCGCCACCATGGAACCAAACGCTCCCTCCATGTCGCTTCCCCGGCGTTTCCTGCTCCGCCACCGGAGATATCGTTGCGCTCAACTTCTCCGGCCTCGGCCTCTCGGCCGCCTTCGCGACCGCCGTGCCTCACCTTCTTCTTATCCCTTCACTTCACTATCTCGACCTGTCGCTCAACCACTTAACTGGCTCCATCCCCTCATCACTATTCATCTCGCTTCGCCTTCGCCACCTCGACCTCGGCCAAAACTACCTCACCGGCCCCATTCCTGAAGAAATCTCCTTCGCCGTTGATATGGAGTACCTCGGCCTATACGAGAATTTCCTCACTGGCGATATCCCGCCGGCGCTTACTCTCCTTCCGAATCTCAGATATCTTTATATTAACCAAAACAACCTCACCGGACGGCTGCCGGATTTCGCTGCTCATTGCTCCCTCTCCTTCCTATACCTCCATTGGAACTTGCTCACAGGACCGCTTCCTAAGAGCTTGTTCAATTGCCATGATCTGACCGTGCTCGCACTCTCCTTTAATCGTTTTGGAGGATCGGTGCCTGACTTATTTGATGAAATTCCCGGGCTTCAGCTTCTTTATCTTGATGACAATGAATTTGTGGGTGAGCTACCCAGGAGCTTGGGGAAGCTTGGGAATTTGACTGCAGCGATTCTTTCTAAGAATCATTTCAGTGGCAGTGTACCTGAAGAGATTGGGGATTGCCGTGCACTGCAAAATCTCGATCTTTGGGGGAACAACCTCTCTGGGACGATTCCATTACAGATAGGGAAGTTGAGCAGCTTGATTTCTCTTTCTTTATCAGATAATCAGCTCGTGGGTCCTCTGCCTGCAGAGATTGGCAACTGCTGCTCTCTGGTGGAGCTTGAGCTACATGACAATCTCATCGGAGGTCCAATTCCCTCCGAGCTTGCCAAGCTAAGGAACCTTGAAAAGATCTGGCTTTTTAATAATCAACTTGAAGGAACAATACCTCCCGAGATAGGGAAATTAAGTGCTCTTCGGGATTTGCAGCTTTATAATAATTGCTTAACTGGAAGCTTGCCTACAGAGATTACTCATCTGCGGAAACTTGAATATCTATCATTAGCCAACAATAATCTCACTGGACAGTTGCCTTTTGACCTTGGGAGAAGCACTGAGAGTGGTTTGATTAAGCTGGACTTGACAGGAAATGATTTCTATGGGCCAATTCCTGCTGGACTCTGCTCAGGTAACAATCTCACTGTTCTTGTAATTGGGCAGAATAGATTCAATGATACCTTTCCTGTCCAAATCGCTCTTTGTTCAGCTCTTACGAGGGTGATACTAAGTAATAATCATCTTCAAGGAGTTATACCTGAAAATTTGAGTTCGAATTCAAGAATATCTTACCTTGACCTTAGTAACAACTTCTTTGAAGGGAAAATACCACCAAGTCTTGCCCTTTGGCACAATCTCACAATGCTGGATATTTCAAAAAATTCTTTCTCAGGGCCTATACCGCCTGTTCTTGCTAAACTTTTAAATATAGAGACGTTACAACTGTCCTCTAATAGATTTACAGGCACAATTCCTCCTCAATTGGCTAACTGCACAAAGCTTCTTAAATTGGACATCAGCCATAATCTTGTTTCAGGGAGTATTCCACCGCAGCTTCTGAGATTGGAGAAGTTACAGTATCTGATTCTCGCTGAGAACAGGCTTACAGGTCATATTCCAGATTTGTTTACATCAAGCCAGAATCTGATAGAGTTGGATCTTGGGAAGAACATGCTTGAGGGAGCAATCCCTTATTCTCTAGGAAACCTTCAGTACATTTCTCTAGCTTTGAATCTCAGCAATAATAGGCTGTCAGGTGAAATTCCCAGCAGTCTCAGTAACCTTGATAAGCTTCAGATTCTAGATCTGTCAGGCAACTTTCTATCAGGACAAATACCTTCTAGCTTGAACAACTTGGTGTCCCTTTCTTTTGTCAATTTGTCTTTTAATAAGTTATCAGGCAAGCTCCCAGCTAGTTGGGTTAAATTTGCAGCATCATCACCAGAGTTATTTATGGGGAACCCTGCTTTGTGCTTGCAGACTAATGGTGGAAATTACTGCCAGCAAGCAATGAAACACAGTGGAAACAAAACTAGATTCATGGTGCTGTTCATGGTATTGCTCTGTCTCTTTTTTCTTCTAGCTGGAGCACTGATTACCAGTTACTTCAGAATGAGAAATTACTCTTCGCCGGCGGCAATTCATCGAGCAGACTTCGTTACAGATTTGCCTGAAGACCTGACATATGAAGATATAATGCTTGCAACGGAAGAATTGAGTGAGAAGTATGTGATTGGAAGGGGAAGGTATGGGACTGTTTATAAAACACAGATTGGTATGGGAAATTCTTGCTGGGCTGTTAAAAAGGTAGAATTGTCTGAGCCAAGTTTCTCTCATGAGCTGAAGATTTTGAACTTAGTGAGGCACAGGAACCTGGTGAGAATGCTTGGATATTGCTTAAGAGATGGCTTTGGCTTGATTGTTTATGAGTACATGCAAGGTGGAACTCTTTTTGATGTGCTGCACCAGAAGAAGCCACAGGTTACATTAGACTGGGAGGTTCGCCATCGCATAGCTCTTGGGATAGCTCAAGGTCTGTCCTATCTTCATCATGATTGTGTTCCTCAGGTCATCCATAGAGATCTTAAATCAAGCAATATACTTATGGACTCTGAGCTGGAGCCCAAGATTGGAGACTTTGGAATGGCAAAATTGATGGATAGTACTAATTCTAGTTCAACAAAATCTTCAATTGTGGGCACTCTTGGCTACATTGCTCCAGGTGATAAGCAATTTGTTCTTCCTGCATATTATATAGGGGTATCAATATTGACCCAACCAGAAAATCCGACCCGAACCCTATCTAAAAATTTCGGATTTGGGTTGACCCGAACACTAAGCGGGTCGGGTACGGGTCCGGCAAACCGAAAAACGGGTCGGGTTCGAGTTGACCTGGGAACCCAGGAATGACCCAAAAACCCATCTGCTCGCCTAACCGGCCCTGCCCGAGTCTGCCTGCCTGCCCCGCGACCTCTCCTACCCCAACTACCCCGCCTGCCTGCCTGCCCCAAGTCGCATCGCATCCGCGTGGCTTGTCCGTGACTGGCATCGTGTCACCAAAAATTGCCGCGTCCGCGTGATTGGCGTCGAGTCGCATCACCAAAAATCGTCCGCGTGACAGGCGTCGCATCCGCGACTCTGCGTGTGGCTTGCTGTCGCGTCGCCATCATCGCTGTCGCTGCCCCGCCAGCCTCCAGCACTGCTGCCCCTGTCGCTATCGTTGCTTCCGCTGCCGCGTTGTCCCTAAACCCTAAATGGATCATGTCGGGCTGACCCGAACCCAAAGCGGGTCAGGATCAGATCCGGAAAATGGACCCGATTTTACCAGGTCGTGTTGACCCGAACCCAAATAGTGTCGGGTCAGTTCCGGGTTCAACCAGAACCCGACCCGTGACCCGAAATTGACACCCCTAATATTATGCTTTTACTTGGAACAAAATTTTTTTTTTTTTTGATGAACAGCTTATATAATGAACAGAGCATGGATACTCAACAAGGTTGAATGAGAAGAGTGATGTTTTCAGCTATGGAGTTGTTCTTTTGGAGCTCCTCTGCAGGAAAATGGCAGTAGATTCAAGCTTTGAAGATGGAGTTGACATTGTCACCTGGATGAATACAAACCTGCAGAAAACTGAAAAATGGAACCTTTTCTGTTTCCTTGATGAGGAGATTTGGTACTGGATGGAAAATGAGAAGGCTAATGCTCTGAAACTGTTGGAATTGGCTATTTCATGCACTCACTCATCGATCAATGATCGACCTTCCATGAGAGAAATTGTGAGAATCTTATTTAAGTTGAAATGCTAATTGTATTTTTAGTACTTGCTGTAATGCTAATTCTTAGAAATCAAACAAATAGTTTGTATAAAACAAAATATAGATAGATTCAGTTTTATTATTGTAGATAGAAAGCAATATGAATTTCAAAATATTGTAAGTCAACAATTACAAAGAATCAAATATAACTAAGAAAAAAAATATATGATTTTTTTTACTTGAAATAATCAATAAATTTTCAGAATTAAAAAAAAAAAACCAAAGAAAATTGAATTTTTGGAAAAAGTATAAATCTTAATTTGCTAGCACTATTTTTTAGTAATCTAGACATTAAAATCAAAGCATACATAGCACTGCATGCAATATTATCAATTTATTCCTTAGTGCCCTTGCATGACAAGGTCTCTCTCTCTCTCTCTCTCTCTTATAATTATAATAAAATATATAAAACATAATTTATATTAAAAATTCATAGTTCAAAAGACAATCAACTCGTCCATTATTCAATAAACTATTTTATTAAAACATTAAGGTTTCTTTTGGAATAGTTTCTTACTGTTTTCTCAAGTAATTTTTTAGTACAAATTTTTTTACTAAAAAATTGCTTTAGAAAATAGTATAAAAATAATGCTTTTAAAAATTATATAAAAACTATTCAAAACGAAGTCTAAGATTTTGCTAGGGACGACTTTCTTACTGCTTAAAATAACTTTTTAGTATAAAAAAATATTTTTTCTCTAAAACATTGCTTTAAGAAGTAGTAAAAAAAATCATCCCAAATAAAATCTAAGTATCTATAATTAAATCCATGAAACTATCTGAAAAGTTGAAGCCACCAAAATCCACAATGGGCAAGGTGGTTTTCAGTGGAAGCACACTCTCTCAAGAACCCATCATACCAAGTTCTTCATGATGACTTCCATTTTATTGTTGGAATTCAAAGAAAGTCAATGCTTTGTGCTCCAAGGATTATTATTTCCAAGAAATTAACTAAGAAGAAAATAAAAATATTGATTTGATGTCACCATATATGCATTTAAATGGAAATTTTGTAAGGGCATCTCCAACGAAGAACTCCAAAATTTACGGCAAAATAACACAGAACTCCAAAATGGTGTGGTGCTGCTCCAATCGAACGTCATTTTAGGTGTTCTTCGGAAGTTAACGATCTTCTCCCTTTCGCGCGTTTTACCGGTTGAGAGAGTAAAATGGCGTGGGTTAACAGTGCTACGCCAATATTGGCGTCGCACTGTTCACCTGCAATTAAATGGCGGAAATGTTTGATTTCGGTTGGAGCGACGGACGGACGGCATATACTTGTTTGGCGTTCGGTTGGAGATGCCCTAAGAACTACAACGCAATCAAATTGTCTAAAGCAAAATTATGATTGAGTGCTATTGTTTAGTACCCAAATATATATATAAGCATCCTGTAGTTTTTACAAATGTTCCTCAATTGGGTTTAAGTCCCCTATTCTTCATTTGTTTAAATAAAGGCTCTAAGCTCAGATATGTTTTTCTTTGCGAGAAATTATTTTGTGCGGATGTCAAACACATCTCTACATCCAGAGACCAATCAGAATGAGCCACATCAACAATACCGAGCGCGGTACTGACGTGACTCATTCTGGTTGATCTTCGGACGACGTTCAACATCTGCACATAATAATTTATCCTTCTCTGAATCGCTTCATGTACTAATCTCAAGATTGCCGATGTGCTAATATTTCAATATTTCATGGCATTTAGGTTAACTTCATTTGTTCTCTTTGCAAGACCATAACCACTTGTTCTTGAGGGTGCAGAATTGCCAGTCAGATTATTTCTCACAAAATGGCTAGTGATCTTCAGGTCTGTAAGAACGGCGGCAGTGACATCTTCTAATTTCTTGTTCTTAATGCAGCAGCAGCTTCAGAACTTTGTTAACTTGCAGGAACAATATATAGTAGAAGACGAGAGATTATTAGGTGCAGAGTGCGGACGGGAAGAACCGCCCGCAACAAGTATTAGCGGGTGCTCGGTACCGCTCAGTAACGAACGGTACCGAGCACCCCTCAATGCTTGTGCGAAAGGTGTGCACTGCGCACCTAATAATTTTTCAATAGAAGACACACCACAGAACCTTAGATACTCTGTGCAAGACCATAATATATATATAAGAGAGAACTGTAGGGACAATGGATAACTAAATTTCAGACTAACAATTACTTATTAATGCAACCGGAAAAACAGAAAAATATAGAATCACAAAAATAATCTCCAACATCGTTTTATATCATTCAAAAGCTCAAATCAATAATCAAATTTCCTTGAAGAAAATATATTTGCCAATATTTCAAGTGGATTGTGATAGGTTATGTTTAAGATTTTCATTAAAACTTCATTTGAGACAGCTTTTTTAGTGCTTAAAACAATTTTTTAATACAAAAATTATTTTTTTTACACTAGAAAGCTGCTTAAAAAAGCAACAAGAAAATCATCCCAAACAAAACTTAAGTCTTTAATCACACCTCTGATGAAATAAAATCTCATAAATATATTTTTAATTCTTTCACGATGAATATAATTGTTTGATAATCATATGACTCCTTGATTTTGACAAAAAATGGGTATTGTGCTCATCTCTATTTCTACAAGCAGTTCACATGTTTATCTTCTTAATCATAGAGCCTCCCTTACGGCAAATCATTATGTGCAAACACTGAACGCAAGCTTACGCGGATTTGTTGCGCTTTTACTGTGTTTTTGATATATTTTTTGCAAAATGACAGCTAATAGCCTAATACATAATTTTAATTACATATTAGCTGTCATTTTGTTGCCCTTTTACTGGGTATTGGAAAAACGCAACAAAAGGGCAGCAAATACTCAATGAGTAAGATATTTGCTGCGCTTTTACTGTATTTTTGCAAATACTCAAGAAAAGGACAGCCAATATGCAATTAAAATTATGTATTAGTTGTCATTTTGCAAAAATACATCAAAAGTACAGTAAAAGCGCAGCAATCTGGACGCAAGCTTGCGTCTGGTGTGCGCACAGAATAATTTGCCCTGTTATTGTGGAGTTATCTTCCGACATCTCATTGTATCCACAAATTGCTCATATTTTTCAGGCAAGGAACCCAAAAGATTTATTAAAAGATTCACACCCTAGAACTCAACTTAAATACTCTTTAAGATTAAATTCAGGAGAGGACAAAAATTAGTTCAAGATAACTGATCAAATTTTAGAGAACAAATCTCAAAGAATAAATTTATTTTGAAAATTAATGAGCGCAATAGTTTGATTATTTTTTAATCGATTAATCTATTATATTATTTTCAATCACTTTGAAATTCATCTTCATCAAAATTGAATAGGATATTCTGACCCAAAAATTTCACATCAATTCAATTCTTAAGAAAGAACGACTAAGCAAGCAACACTTGGAATGCAAACAAATACAATTTAAAATGGTGGCATGCAGATCTTAAGCTTACTTTGAATGAAACTACTCAGGTTTAACTGGCCATTGGAATGCAGAAGACACTGAAGAAAAGAACAATGAATTAACAATATTATGGAATGGCCTCATTTATTAATATTTTTTCCCTAAATATTTCATAATGTTCATTCTTTATATCACCAAAAAATGTGAATGATACAGCAAAGTAGAGAGCTGATTACCCCCAACTGTCGCACTCTACCTGTTAAAAGATAGCATTTTTTCTAAACTGACTTCATGGAGAAACCTAAAACAGCTTGGCCTTGGATCAACAGATCTTCAGGGAACAAATTATATTTAACGAAGGACAGATTTGACCCCAACCTGTAAATTAAGGGGAAAAAAAAAGGATTTGGCCAAAAAATAAGACTTTTAGGAAAAGAAATGCAAAAGATCAAGAACGATTAATTGTTAAGGCCATACCTTCGCATCTGTGATCTTCAAGATTTATGGCAGATGATTTTAATGAATCAATACGGGAAAAAATTTTGTTTCAAGATATCCTGAGATCAATTCAATCAGATGGATTTTATAATTTATTATGTATAATATATTCAGGATAATCCAACCCATTCTGATCTAATTTATATTAGATTATTCTGACATAATTTTTTTTTCAATATCTGGTCCAAGCCATCAACTATAGTAGTTGTTTAATGGCAAATAAGTAGCTTGCAACAAGGGTAAATGATGCAACACCACTGCAGGCCATTCGCAATCCAATACCGCGAAGCAACAAGTTTCGATCTGCAGGGGACAAGCCAGTGACTCTCTCTATCCAAATTCCAGAAGTTTTCCATTTTAAGAACTTCCTTTCCATGCTTATGTACTGCATATAAGATGTGAACACAAGTATCATCACAAGATTCTCCTCAGAATCAAACAACAAGAAAATATATCTTTTTTTTGCCACAAAGAATCAACTAAACAGCTTTATCAAATCATCGCCTTGGAGCTGGTTACATGAATTCTCATTCTCCATTCAAGCATTGTAAGTGTCATATAAGATGTTTTTGCACGGAATTTTCTTTTTCACAGTTTCAATCCATGTTATATTTGGCCTGTCTTCTTTGTTAAATTGTGGAATCTAATTTTTCCCCAGCTAAAAACCATCTTAACCAAATTTGTTTATCTAAACCCGGGGTTTAGGGGCGGAGAAACTGGAAGATATCTAATATTTGCAAGTTATTTTAGCAAGACTATTTCAGGGATTTCACTGTATGTTTTTACTGCTCTAAATTTTTCTTTATAAAAGGGGGCATCGTCTTTTGTTGATATAAGATAGATTAAAACTACAAAAACTCTGCAATTGAAATCATAATATAATTTACAACGGAAACAATAGGACTTAGCCAGTAATTGAGTGAGGTGAACTCATATAAAATTCTTAGTGTGTTTTGTGTGTGGATCTTCTTTCTTTCTCTCCTTGCTTGGCACTTCGTGATTTGAACTAAATCTCACCTAATTCCCAACTGTTATTTTATAAATCTTTAACCACAAAATTTATGTCATAATGAACTTATTCATCAAATTAAACAATCCACCCAACTATAGTTTGTGATTCTATCTTAAGATTATATCCTGATATGGAAAAGTTTGAATGCCAAAGCAATCAATTCTTTTCTAAATCTTCTGCTTCATTATACTTCAAATTTCAAAGCATACCTGTCTAATGAATAAAGAAACAAATTGTGCTCAAGTTTTTGAAATCCAAACGGTCTTGGAAGGCTAGGAAGAGGCTTAAATCAAGGTAGTGAATTCAAAATCTATGACAACAGGCCAACGATACTACAATATTTACTGAAATGATAAAATGAAGGAATATGTCGCTATGAAACAAGGTTGGGATACCTTAGGCACAACAATACACTGCGATTGAGTTTTGGCTGTGTCAAAAGGATGAGAAGCGGCAGCAGCTACAGCTCCAGAAAATCCAGCAGCAAGGCTAGAAGCCAAAGGCGAAACTGGACCAACCTCATTGATTGATCTGTACAATATAAAGAGCGAGCTTAATAAACAAACATAAGAATCACTGCGCAACAGCAAAACAATATATAGACTTCATGAAAAACCATATAAATTTGTAAAAAGCAACGCCTGAACGTAATCATAGCCAAATTAGTCATCTTACACACAATACAAGAGGTCGTGGATTACATGAGAGTTTAATGGACTGATATCTGTGGGTAATGGATTAAGTTCCAAGGTAAATTTTTTGAAAGCATATTAGGTTAAAGGTAAGACACTACACCAAAATATTTCACTCTCATTTGCAAGAACTTTAAGATCTTAGTTCTGATTTCTCATAGGCGCAAGTGCATATAGCTAATTACCCCTCTTAGTGCGAGAAAACACTTTCGATTAAGGCTAGTAATTAAATAGACACTTAGTACCACCATCTTTTTAGTACCTACCGTATATTAGTAGCAGTTTTAGATATTTAGGGATACAAATTTATCACCTTGCGCTTAAAATTGGTGGCGGGGGAATGAAGGTGTACCCAATCAAGATCTCATGGTTCCATTGGCCGGGTCATTACGATCCTTAGTCTACTTAGTCAGAGGAGGTCATCGATCCAACCTAACCGAAAGATTTTTTTCGGCAACTATGGATTGCTTCGTACAAAGGTATTTTGTAAACCTGAGGTGAATGTTTATCTAAGAAACAAATTCAAGTCGATTTTAGCTAGCAGAGGGCATTATATCCTATCAAGTCTACCATATGATTCATTACTCATGGGTATTAACCATTGGGGAGCATACGGGCTCTGAAAGTAACCATAATATAGTGGTGTTTATCTGCAACAAAACCACCCAGTAAGAGCGCACCTGTTATAACGGCCTACCCAGTGAAGCCAATGGGTCAAACTACCAATTAGATAACACATGGCATGTTCTTATAAGCAGCAGATTGTTTTAGAATGAATCTTAATGATATTCTCGATTGGGCATTCGCTCTTTATAAGCTAAAGTTATTCTTAAATTCATTGCCCTGATCAAACAATTTTGGAGGATGGATAATTTTTACTTTAAGATATGGATGATTAATTCCCCTTTAAATTTGATAAATATCAAATCTTTTAATTTTGATAAAATTTAATAATTGACCGCTCCAGCTAGACTTACTTTAAGCACGATCATCATTTGGGTGTTTAAGTATTTTCATTTTACCATTTAAATATTGTCAACTCTACCCACTTGTTGGCGGAGGATCGAGTTCAATTTTAGTTCAAAGTGTATTTTGATACAAAAATCCCCTCCAGTTGAAATGCACCTTCAACGCGGCCAGCATAAGTGTGATACTAAAGACACATTAAATATATTGTATTTTTATCGAAGTTTGGAGGCATTTAAAGAGATAGAGTTCACTCCGATTGAAATTCAATTTCAACACAGCCATCATTGATGTGACATTAAAGTCACTTGAAAAACATTTATATTTATCAGAGTTTGTAGGCATTGAAAGGGATAAGGTCCCCTCCGATTGAGATTCAACTTAATATGGTCATCAACAAGATTTTAAATAATTCTTTTTTTTTTTTGTAATTTGAACCATGTCAACTATGTTTGCCAATTATCAGAATATCAAGTTCAACTATTGATTTTGCAAATTCGTTATACAAACGTTGAAACTAAGACCTCCAACTTATTCTACCGCCATTGCGCCGCTAATTCCAACCACTGTATGCATTGCGATCGCAATCGAGAACACGCTCGAGAATGAGATCATGATCACAACTGAGACCGTGATCGAGCCCACGAATGTCTTCGCTTCCTCTGGCGACCAGACCCACAGCCCACGCCCGTCCTAAGTCCATCCTAGTTCGCCTGCGCTTCCGATATGACTACAATGCCCGCCGTCCGCCTTTCACACGTACAAATCAACTCCAATTCCTACCCCGCACGGCTAATCCCGCATTCACGAACAAGGTTTTCCTGAGCAATTTGGAGCTAAAGAAAACTTCTCTGGAGTATAGTGTCATCATTGGCCTGAAGTCGATGAAATCAGATGATGGATACTTTTGTGGATTTCCCAGTCACATGTAGCTGCTTGTGCCCATCTTTATCTCAATATTGTTTTTAAGATTCAAAAGAAGGATATAGTTTCTGCGAAGCATCTACTGCAAATTTTCTCTCATTCTCCCTACCTAGTGAGACAAAGGCTTGATGTTGTTGTTGTTGTTTCCCTGCCTAGCTCAAATAGCATTGCTTCCGGGACTTTGGGAAGGCCTTTTCTTGCCGCATCTTTCTCATTTGAAGGCATGGCATGGCAGAGAAGCAGAATCTTTAGAAGGAGCATCCGGTGTGAAGTGGAAGCTGGAGTTTCTAAAGGAACTATATGTTGATCTTCTAAATATGGGTACTTCTAAATTTGCAACATTTTATAAGCGCTGGCTGATGGAGGACTTCAGGAGTACTGCATTCCTTTCTTCTCTTCCTCCTTTTGCATCATTTCCAGAAATATCAGAAGATGCTTATGAGATTGTTTCAGCTAAATCATCTAGTTCAAGTTATTCAGTTCCTTCTAAGGCTATTATTAGTAAACTAACATATGAATCTGTTTTGAACGAGACTAAAGAGGATTCAAAATGGATTGGAAAGTTGGGAGGCAGAGAAACTGAGATGGAGGATGTAATTGAAGAGAGGCCGTCAATGATGTTTGGAGACTATCGGAAAAAAATGCAAAAAAGGCCCAGATGGTTAATTCTTTGGAGTTTGGTGTCATTCAGCCATGCATCAATTCTCGGTCACTGAAACAGGGAAGGGAGCTAATGTTAATATTCAGGAAGCTGAGTTGGATAAGAATCCAGTCGTGCTCCCTAAGCTACTGAAGTTTACCGTGCGTGTGTCAGGCTAATGACGCGGAAGAGGTGTTTGATAGCATTCCAAAGAGAAACTTCGATACCTGTGCATGGACTACCATGATTATCGGATGTGGAAATCCTGATGAAGCTTTTAAAATTTTCAGTAGTACGGAGGAACCAAATATTTTTGTATGGATTTCCCTTACTGGTGGATTTGCTCGATTTGGTATGATTGAAGAAGCAATGAAATTATTGAAAAAAATCATTGAAGCACTACATTTGCATTGGTCGAGCAGATCAACTTGTTGATATTGAATTCCTAATCAAATTCATGACTGTGAAATTAGATGGAGATATGTGGAAAAATATTTTGTCTGCATTCAAAATTTTCAGCCCAGAAAGATTGATTTGATGTCTACCTCCCTCCCAATGACGCACCTCGATGGAGTCGAGCTCTTCTAATGCAAAGGGAGTATGATGTAGGAACATCATAGCTATAATTAGCTTAAGGACTAGCAAACCTTTAATATTCTAGATATTTTATTTTGATTTATAAATAGTAAATGTAAGGGAGTAGGAGATATAAAGAATATATTATGATTTTAAATCTTTGAGCTTGGTTATTCTATGGTTTGTGTATCTCCTCCAGCAGATCCAATTATTCCTTCAATCCACTACATCAAACACCCATGTGTCAACACCAACACATGGTACCTTACATGTTGGTTAAATATATAGGAAATTGCATAAATCTCCAGGGAAAGACGTTTTGGTATTATTTAAATTAAATTGTTATAAATATGTCCTACAAAAATTTAATATTTAGGGGAAAAATAAAATAATCTCCTGAGTATTCATATGTGGTTAATTAGTCTCAAATTATCATATTTCTCCAACATAGTCCCTTGACATTACAAAATTGATCACAAATAATGAAATAATCCTTTAGGCATTAAATTATGATCAATTTTGTGTAATTGAGGAACAAGATTGAGATCCAAATTTGTAACCCAATGCTCGTCAAATTTCTACCTGAGGGACAACCTGGGATCAATTTTGTATAATCGAGGAACTAAATTGGAAAAATGTAATGCTTTGAGACTAAATTAGCAACATACGAATATTCGGTAAACTAATTTAGGCTTTTTCCCTTTAATATTCATAATTACTTCTTCTTTTTTAATTAAAAAATAAAATTAAAACTTCATAAGGTTCGAGAGCCATACCTTGCCACCACCACCCTTCTTCATGTACTTCAAGGATAATTCCATTCATTATAGCAATTCATGTTTTCACAAGGTTCCCACAAGGAGTGCTCTTAGCTAAGGGAGAGCCTTTTTGTATCAAGTGTCGTCATCAACAGTGGCAATGATTGACCGCTAAAGAGATTGGGTCATTTGGCTTTACATGGCCCGTCTTTGACTTAGTCATAGTTAAGGACGAGCTATATCAACAAGAACATGGCATTAATGGCCTATCAAAATAGGCGAAATTAGCCAAAAGCCACTAAACTCAACTTAATAGACCATTCAGACTGGATCCCCTAGTTTATATAGCCAATTAAAACGTTGATATATTGTAATGAAGAATATACATTGCCTTAATAATCTTAATTCATAAAGTTGTTGAAATCCTTAGGCTCTTCTCCCAACAATTAAGATTGCAGTCAATAAGGAATAAGTCAAGGTGACTACATGTTGCGAAGCGAGCTTAGGCTCTGCACTGATGAAAACCTGTATGTCTGCTATTGTGAACCTATTTGGGCAAAGCTCTCAAAAAAAGTAAAATTTGTAATACAAACCTAATTTATCAAACAGCCCATAGCTAAGGTTATATGATACGGCATTTCCAAGAGAGTGAAGACTTACTCCAAATCTGTCAGAACTTCTTGAACTAGCCAATGATGCTCCCCGGGTAGGCGACCTCTTGGTTTTTTCCCCAAATGGGGGAGACGCCGGGAGGCTGCCGAATTTTTGTCTGAAATACAGACAATGACTTGTAATAATTTGGGACCTGGATTTGATTGAACTCAAAAGAACAAATGCAAAGAACTTGTACTTGAGATTATAGTTTGGAACAACTACAAGGATCACTTGAGCACATTTGAACAACAGAGGACTTTGGCATCAGACTTGAACCTGAATATGCAATGAATTCATTAAATCCAAACTTAAACCAAATGA